GACGAATCTCCCGTTTTGGACTTCCTCATTCTGACTTTATGAGTGTGTGAGTGTGTGACTGTGTTTGTGTATACATGTGAGTGAGTGTGTGAGCGATGTCGATGATGCCGATGTTGATGAGGGTAGGTGGGTGAGCGAATGAATGATTAAGTGGTAATGAATATGCTGATGATGATGATGACGAGCACTGTGGTAGTGATGATGATGACGAGTGTGATAACGATTGGTATGGTGATGGTGAGGAAATGGAAACGAGGTGGTGATGATGTGGATGAGAGAGGAGGAAAATTGAACATCCTGCGCGGAGGTGCGCAGAGAAAACAATTAACCTGGCGAAGAACCCAACCATATGCAGTTGTGAATACCGCAAACATGAATATCGTTTTCGGTGGCGGTACCTCTGGGTAGGGGAACCGCATGCGGGCACCCCCACTGGGGCCTTCGGTCGAGCTCCCTGTGGGGCCACGAAGCGCTGCCCTGGGTGGGGGAACCGCATGCGGGCACCCCCACTGGGGCCTTCGGTGGAGCTCCCTATGGGGCCACGAAGCGCTGCCCTGGGTGAGGGAGCCGCATGCGCCCACCCCCACTGGGGCCTTCGGTGGAGCTCCCTATGGGGCCACGAAGCGCTGCCCTGGGTGGGGGAGACGCATGTGGACACCGCCACTAGGACCTTCGGTGGAGCTCCCTATGGGGCCACGAAGCTTTGAAATGATAATGTTGATCATGATGACAATGACGACGACGACGCAGACGATGATGGTGATGATGATAATGATGATGATTATGATGATGATGAGGAGGAGGATGAGGATGAGGATGAGGATGAGGATGAGGATGAGGATGAGGATGATGGTGATGGTGATGGTGATGGTGATGGTGATGGTCATGATGATGGTGGGAGGAGGGAGGAGGGGGAGGAGGGCGGGAAGCAAGGAGAGGAACGCGGGGCGCCGTCTCTTCAAAACGAGGACCCAACACCACAGGATGGTTGGGAATAACCCAAACCAGGATGAGGGGAATCAAAAACACTCTCTGAACGAACCCAACACACCCGATCGCAACCGGTTGGAATCCGCCCCAAGTGGTTGCGATCGGGCCGAAGTGGTTGCGATCGGCCCCGGTCGCGGTGTTTCTTGGGGGGATCCCCCCATCCTCGTAACCCCCGCCAAAAAACTTCCCCTGAGGGGGCGTTCGCGGGGGGGAAATCCAACAACATTCCGTTTAATCCCTAAGAGCACCGCTTGGGGGGGTTCCCAGAGGGAAAACCGATCACCTCCTTAACCTCCCAAAAAACGCTCCTTGAGGCGGGGGGGGTCCGGGGGGGAAACCCAATGCCATACCCCCCCCACAAACCCCTGTTGGGGAGGGGGGTTCCGGGAGGAAGCCCCACCAACTCCCCTTAACCTCCCTCGTAGCCCCGCTTGAGGTACAGTTTCCAGGGGGGAAACCACCAACCACCCTTGAACCCTCCGAAAACCACCCTTGAGGAGGGGGGTCCGGGGGAAAAACGCATAAACCCACCCGAAGCCCTCCAAACCCAGCTTGATGGGAGGGGTCCGGAGGGGACCCCCCCTCAACCAACAAACAACTCTCTCTGAGAGGGGGTCCGCGGGGAAAACCAACCCACCCTGACACCCCCGAAAGCCCCTATTGAAGAAGGGTTGGGGGATTCCGGGGGGGGAACCCACTAACCCCCCCTAGCTACTCCCAGAACACCCTTGATGGGGGGGGGGCCGCGGAGGGGAACCCACCACCACCGCCGCATCCTCTCAAAAACCTCCCTCTCAGGGGAGGTTTCCGGGGGTGACCCCACCCTCCATAGCCCACCCAAGAACTCCCCTTGAGAGGGGGGTCCTGGTGGGGGGCCCCTTTCCCCCCCTAACGAACCCTTCTAGATGGGAGGGTCCTGGGGGGACCCCCCCTAACCCACTCAAAACTCTTTCTTGAGGGGGGGTTTTCAAGCAGGGGTTTTAGGGGCAAAACCCTCGCTGAAGGGGGGTTTCAGTGTGGTCTTGAAGGGAGGTTTTTTATTCTAGTATTATTTGCTATTTTGGGGCCCCAGACCCTCCCCCAAACCCCCAAACCTTGAATCCTCTCCCTGGGTTTGGGAAACTGCCATCGGAAAACCTTCCTGAGGGGGGGGGGTAGGGTTTCGGGGAACTCCGACACCAGCCTCCCCTTCCCTCCGTTCTCCGTCACATTCCGTCCTCGGTTCCTGATCCTGCCTCTTGCGTCCTCTGCCCTCTGTCTTCCTCTTCACCTCCTCCTGCCCTCGCGTCCCCCTTTCTCTCTCCTCTTTTTCCTCCCTCCTCGTAATCGTCCCGTCCTTGCTCGTCGTTTTCGTCGGTGTCCTCCCCCTCCTCCTCCCCTCCTCCTCCCCTTCGTTCTTCTCCGCCTTCGTTGTATTCCCCTTCTCGTCCTCTTCCCCCGCTGTCTCCAGCTCTTCCTCCTCTCTGCTCCTCTTTCTCCTCTGCCTCATCCTGTGCCCCTTCCTCTTCCATCTTTCTTCTCTTCCTTCTCCTTCCTGCCCTTCATCTCCTTCATTTTCTTGCCCCTTTCTCTCCCCATCCTACGTCTTGCCCTCCCCCTGCTCCCCCTCATTATTCGTCTCTGCCCATTATCCTTCGCCTCTCCGTTCCTCTTCTCCGCGTTGCCTCCGCCTCCTCCATGCTCCAACCAATCAGGCATAATGTATGTACGCAAAACGTCAGGCATGCGGTTAAATCAGATCGGGCGTGACCAGTGCGAACACCACGATTGCTTCGAGGACGGCCCAGAGCACCTTGTGGCAAGCACACTCCACCCTGCCCTCATCAACGCCGTATACGAGTGAATATACAGCGAGTCCCAGCTCGAGTACCACATAAAAGAACAACCAGCGAGCCATGGCCAGCATGACACTGGCACAGACATAACAAGAGCGCGGGGAACAGTGTGAGAGCAGTAGTTCTAATCTCGCCAGCCCTCCGGGCGACAGACGGTCTAACGATGTTTTTCTTTCCTCTTCCACAGCCCCCTCCCCTGGACCTGGACGGGGTCTTCGCGAGGTGTCGGAGGGTCCCTTTTGGCCCAAGATGGCTCCAAGAGGGCCTCAGAGAGCCCAAGATGGCCTCCAAGATCGCTCAAGATAGCCCAACATGGCTTAAGATAGCTAACCACATGCCTCCAAGAGGCCCCAAAGAGGCCACAAGACGGATCCAAGTGCTTTTGGAGACCCCTCCGGACTTCCCCGAGAAGCCAACATCCTTCAAAAACCTAGGGGAAGCCACTGATTTTGGCTTTCTCGCCTTTTCGCTTCCGATGCGCTTTTGAGGCTTCAAGATGGCCACGAGCTGGCCCAAGAGAGCTCCAATAAGGGCCCAGGACGCCCCCAAGACGGCCCCCAAAGCGCCCAAGAGCGCCCCCAGGGGGCCCCAAGAGCGCACCAGTAGGCTATTTGGATGGCCCCGGAGGGGGGGAGGCAAATTTAGGACCCCCCTTCCTTTGATCGATGGCCTCTAAGATGGCCCCAGGAGGCCCTTCGAAGCTCCCAGGACAGCTCCAAGAGAGCCCCAAGAGGGCCCCATGAGGGGCCCCAAGAGAGCTCCAAGGCTCCCCAAAAGAGCCCCAAAAGGACTCCAAGACCCTCCAAAGAGCCCCAAGAGGGCCCCAAGATGCTCCAAAACAGCCCCAAGAGGACCCCAAGGCGCCTCCCAAAAGCCCCATAGCTCCAAGAAGGCCTCCGATGCTCCAAGATAGCCTCCAACATGGCTCGACACTTTCCTCCCCCTCCTCTCTTTGACCGCTCTGTTTCACCGTATGCGTCTCTGCTTTCCATTTCCCGTCAGCTCTTACGGGCAGGGCTTCCGAATGGGCTGGCGGGGATTCGCGCATCGTAAACACTTTCAACCCGATTCAACCCACGAAGCTGCACGCCACCTGACAGATTTCGCTAGCAAATCGACGGAACAGATCTGCCACAGCTCGCCCCCTGGAAGCCCTGACAGCTCGAGCCCAAAGTTCAGCGTTCACCTCCACGAAGATCATGTTCTCGAAGACGCTCAAGTAAGCACATTCGAGTGCTGTGGTACAGTCCTGGGACATCCACGGGGCTAGCATTAAGTCGGGCGTGTCCCTCTACAGGAGGAATATTCAAACATAGCCAACACATAGTCAGGAGACGATTTTTTGAATATATTTGACTAGCTTTTTTCGAGTATGCTCAATTTTGCGTCCGACATCTGCCTGTAGGAGGACACGCCCGACCTAAGGCTAGCAGTCTTGAGCCAGAGCTGGCTCGACCCGAGATGGTACTCGAGCTGCGGTGGCCTCGCCTCCTCTGCCCTCTTTCTCCTCTTCCTCCCCTGCCTCCCCTTTCTTCCACCCCCCTCCCTCGCCTCCTCCTCCCCCGCCTCCTCCCTCGTCCTCCTCTCCTCCTCCTCCTTCTCCTCCTCCCTCTCCTCCTCCTCGTCCTCCATCGTCCTCCTCCCTCGCCTCCTCCTCCCCTTCCTCCTCCTCCTCCTCCTCCTCCTCCTCCTCCTCCTCCTCCTCCACCTCCTCCTCCCTCTCCTCCTCCCTCTCCTCTTCCCCGCCTTCCCTTCCCTTCCTCCCTCGCCTCCTCCTCGCCCCTCCTCCCTCGTCCGCCTCTCATGGCGCCAACATCGCAGAGCGGATTTCGTTCGGAAAACGATACGATGGGCCCAGAATGTCCTGGAGAATTTCGTTCTGGATTTCGAGGTGAATTTCGTGCGGATTGTTCTGGCCAGGAATGAAGACTAAAACAAATCCACGCGAAATTCACTTCGTTTTTCATTTGCCGTTTCGGGGTTTTGCATTGACAGAAATCCACGCAACAATCCGCTGCAGCACGTCTGCAAGGTCGGTGCATTGACGCTTCTTTCCCTCCCTTGTCCACCTCCTCGCCCCTCCCGCACGGGGTCTTGCCTCGGGCGCTCCTCATTCAATGAGGGTGCTTCCCATACTGGCACGGAATACTCGCGCGGACTTCGGAGGAGTGGACTGCTGACGGGAGGGTGCATTGCAGCATCGTTCATGCCTTCTGGGTTCACTTTGGTTCCCCCTTCCCCCACCGCTTCCCCAGACATCCGACAACGTCGCTTTCTGAATGCGCGAGGCCCTCTGTCCGCCTCTTCATCCTCGGCCGCCTTCGGAGGCCTAGAGGCTGACACCAACACCAGTACATCGGCGGTGTGCCTCCACCGAGGGAAGACGATCCCGATCTCGACGATGGTGGTAAGGTTCGGGTAGGCGGCCTCATGCGAACCCTACCCCTACCCCCCACGATCTCTGAGGGGGAGGGTGGGGGTCAATTCGTTCGGGAGCTCCCGAGCGAAGTGAACCCCACCCTCCCCCTCAGAAATCGGGGGGGGGTAGGGGTAGGGTTCGCATGTGGCCCCCTATCGGGCTTCCCAGGTGGTTGAACTGTCACCGCCGGCGCCGAAATCTGGGATCCTCTTCCCCCAGTCAAGACGACCCCTTGCGATGGTGCTGGTGCCCCTTTCCACGCCCCCGGCGCCCCCCCTCCGCGGGCGGGGACCTCGCCCTGCAGAGCAGGCCTACGTGGTGGTGGCGCAGCAGGGGCCCCCCCAGTCGTACCCCGCCTACGGCATGGACGCCAGGGCCCCGCAGCCGCAGTACCGGCAGGTGCCTCCCGCGGCGATGGCCCCGCAGGCGCCCACGGCGGCCGACGAGACGCGGCGACGACGAGCACGGCGGACGACGAGCGCACGGCGAGGAGGGCCCCGATCGCCGGCGACGTCGGTGCGTTCTGCCCTGGCGGTCGCTCCTCGGTCCTCTCGGCCTCCGGGGCCCCTGGTGGGGCCCCGGGGCCGTCCGAAATGGGCCGGGGACGAGACAGATGCCTCCAGGGAAGGGGTCGGGGCCTCGCGAGGATGTGCCCAAACTCCTCGCGCCCTGTGCAGATGCCGTCGGGGCGCTACGAGAAGTCGCGGGGGGGGGCGATGCGTGCTGGGAGACCCTCGCCGGAGCAGGCTCGAGGCAGGATCGTGCAGCAGAAAGAGCAGTAGGACCGCTCAGGCGCTCTGGAGAACTGATGGGCAGGATCAAGGAGCGGAACCCGATCGGCGACGAGGGGGAGGAGGACGACGACGAGGACGAAGAGGACGAAGACGACGAGCAGGATGGCGAGCAGGACGACGAAGACGACGAGGACGACGACGAGGAGGAGGACGACGACGAGGACGAGGACGACGAGGACGACGAGGACGAGGACCGCGGGGACGAAGACGACGAGGACCACGACGAGGACGACGACGGCGGCGGCCTGGCAGGCGATGGCGGCGGGGAGCCCCAGCGACACCCTTATGCTGGAGCCGCCGCCGGTGTTCGAGAGGCTGGACTCGAAGGCCATAGTCGGCATGCTCCGAGGCGCGGGCCGGGCGGCGGGGGCGCGGACCTTCCGCAGCCGCGGCGGCGCGGTCGCGCAGGTCTGCCAGGAGTTTCACGCCGTCATCGCCGCGGCGCGGCAGGCGGGCGCGCGCGCGGAAGGAGGAGGAGGATATCGGAAGAGGAGGAGGAGGTCGGAGGAGGAGGAGGAGGAGGAGGAGGAGGAGGAGGAGGAGGAGGAGGAGGAGGGGGAGGAGGTCAGAGGAGGAGGACGGATGACGGAGGAGGAGGACGAGGAGGGAGGAAGGGAAGGGGAGGAAGGGAAGAGGAGAGGGAGGAGGAGAGGGAGGAGGAGGTGGAGGAGGAGGAGGAGGCGGAGGAGGAGGAGGAGGAGGAGGAGGAGGAGGACCCACTGCTGCCACAGCCGCGCCACGTATCCCTATCTCCTCTTTCCCCTTCTATAATGGGCCTCCCCTCGTCTCTCCTCCCTCTCTCCCTTCGTCTGTCTGTCTGTCTCCCACTTACACTCATTACCTGCACACCGCTGGTGACACCTGGAGCGGTGCTCCAGGGGTCACCTGGCCCTAGTTTGATCACCCCCCCTCAGGGCCGGCCCTGAGGGGGGGGGGGGGCTACATTCGGACGAACCTTGGAGCCATCAGGTGTCAGATGTCTGGAGGAGGACCAGTGCAAACCCAAGACGCGCCAACGATCTCGCAATAAACCCTCCCTCTACGTTCACTTCTGGACATTTTTGTTTTGGTTTCAGGCTCGTTTGGGCCACCTGCATTTTCAGGAAAGAACGGCAAGGCCTCTTCAACCTCCGTTTCGCTCATCCGTTTCTTCCCTCTTCTCCACTTCCCTTTTTCCTCCTCCTCCTACTTACCTCCCTCACTCTCTCTCTCCCTCCTCATCCCCTTCCTCCTCCTCCTCCTTCTCCTCCTCCCCCTCCTCCTCCTCCACCACCTCCTCCTCTTTCTCTGTTTCCTCTTTTTCCTCCCAATCAGCGGAAGCCATAGGAAATAACAATGCAAGCAACAACAACAACAGAAAAATCACACAATCCTGAGGGACTCCCCGCCTTTCTCCCCGACCCATAAGAACGTTCACCAAGATGCTTTTTCGTTGCATTTGTTTTTCCCTTGTCTTGCCCTTTCCCAGGGTTTGGTTTGATTCTGCTCCGTGAGGGGATTATGATTGGAAGGAGGGGGAAGAGGAGGGGAAGAGGAGGAGGAGGACGACGACGAGAAGGAAGCAGGAGGAGGAGGAGGAGGAGGGGGAGGAGGGGGAGGAGGAGGAGGAGGAGGAGGAGGACGGATGACGGAGGAGGAGGAGGACGAGGAGGAGGTGGAGGAGGAGGAGGAGCTTGTGTATACTGGCGATGGGCAGGGTGAATGGGGACGAGGACGGTGAGGCATGAGGAGGATGAGGAGGAGGAGAAGGTTGCAAAGTGAGTCAGCAACCTGCTCCTCCTGCTTTCCTCCTGCTCCTCCTCCTCAGATCCCTCATCTGCGTTTTCCTAACACTTGCCCTCCTCCTCGTTCTTCTCCCTTGGGGGAAATACGAAGAGGCTGAGGGTGATGTGCACATTCCCCAATCAGAGCTTGCCTCTGTAGGGGTCCTAGCGGATACATATGGTTAGGTCAGGTTTGCCACCGATTTCCGCGGCCCGCCAAGGTGCCCGGGTGCCCGGGTGCCTGGGTGCCCAGGTGCCCTGGTGCCCGAGTGCCTTACAGCCCTGTAGCCCTATAGCCCTATAGCCCTATGGCCCTATAGCCCTATAGCCCTACAGCCCTACAGCCCTATAGCTTTATACCAAGGGAGGAAGAAGCACGCGGACCGGACAATAAGCGTTTACTAAACGGCCCTGGGCGTTTACTAAACAGCCCTGCCCTGTTTGATTCCTTCTTTGGGCGCGTTTACTAAACGTCCTCGTGTGTCTTGATGATCATTATCGGGGTGGGTTTTCTGTCCTCTACTATAGCCCTATAGCCTCATATCCCAATATCCCAATAGTTCTATAGTCCTATAGCCCAATCGCCCAATAGCCCTATAGCCCTGTAGCCCTATAGCCTTATAGCCTTATAGCCCCATAGCCCTATAACCCGATAGCCCTATGGCCCTACAGCCCTATAGCCCTATAGACTCATAGCCCTATAGTCGAATAGCCCCATAGTCCCATAGCCCTATAGCCCTATAGCCCTATAGCCTTGTCGCCCAACAGTCCAATTCTCCTACAGCCCTTAACCCCTATATCCCTGTAGCCCTATCGCCCTAGAGCCTTATAGCCTTATAGCCCTATAGCCCTGTAACCCTATAGCTCCATAGCCCTATAGCTCTATCTGCGTGTGACCCTATAGCCCCATAGTCCCGTAGCTCTATGGACTCATAGCCCTATGGTCCAATAGCCCTATAGCCCTATAACTCAATAGCCCTATAGCCCTATCGCCCTATAGCCCTATAGCCTTACAGCCCTATAGCTCTATGGCCCTATAGCCCTATAGCCCTATCAGCCTATAGCCCAATAGCCCAATAGCCCTATAGCCCTAAAATGACTTTGATTCCCTACCTAGGCTCTGCCTAGAAGGGTTCTTACTCTCTTTCTTAAAGGGGCCGCGCAGTGCACACCGCCCCGGGCGGTTCCCCCAGTATCCGCCCCGCGGTTCCCCCAGTTGCGCCCCCTTAGCTTAGCTTTGCTTATCTCATCTTAGCTTTGCCTAGCTGAACTTAGTTTAGCTCTGCTTAGCTTAGCCTAGCTTATCCTTTCCTAGCTTAGCTTAGCTTAGCTGAGCTTAGTTTAGCTCAGCTTAGCTTAGCGCAGCGCAGCATTAGCATTAGCATAGCATAGCACAACACAGCATAACATAGCAAACCATACCATAGCATAGCATAGCGCAGCATAGCATAGCGCAACATGGCATATCATAGCATATCATAGCATACCATAGCATAGCGCAGCATATCAAATCATATCATATCATAGCATAGCGTAGCTTAGCTTAGCTTAGCATAGCACAGCGCAGCATATCATAGCATATCATAGCATAGCATAGCGTCGCATATCATATCATAGCGCAGCATAGCATAGCATATCATATCATAGCGCAGCATAGCATATCATAGCATACCATAGCATAGCAGAGCATAGCGCAGCATAGCATAGCATAGCATAGCATAACACAGCGCATCATATCATATCATAACATAGCCTAGCATAGCATAGCATAGCGCAGCATATCATATAATAGCATAGCATAGCGCAGCATAGCATAGCATAGCATAGCATCGCGCAGCGTAGCATAGCATAGCATAGCCTAGCATAACATAGCGCAGCCTAGCACACCCTAGCATATCATAGCGAAGCATAGCGCAGCATAGCGCAGCATAGCGCAGCATAGCGCAGCATAGCATAGCATAGCATACCCTAGCATAGCATAACAACGTTCGGTGTAGCAAGTGTTGCACAACCTTGCTCAATGCCAAGTCGTGCGGCGTAGACCGGATACGGAGCATTCTCACGCACACCCGGTGAGCGAATGCGAAAACATGCGTGTGTGTGTGTCTGTGCGCAGGCAAAGCAAAAACAACATCAAGCAAGAGCAAAACAAAAGCAAAGCGCAAGCAACAGCAACAACACAAGCAAAAGCAAAAGCAAGGCAATGCAAAGCAAAAGCAAAACCAATGCGAACGTGTAGATGTATATGTAGATGTAGATGTAGATGTATGTGTAGGTGTAGATGTGGGTGTAGGGTATATGTAGATGGAGATGTATATGTAGGTGTAGATGTAGGTGTAGATGTAGATGTAGATGTGAATATCGCTGTTGATGTTGATGTAGATGTATATGCATGTGTATATGTTAATGTAGCTGTCGGTGTGGATGTAGATGTTGCTTTCCTAGATGCTCCAACTCCTAGGTAGGGTCGCACTGGGATAATGGTTTTCTCTAGTATCATACATGTATACACACGAGGATGAAGGGCATGAGGGGAGGTGATGGGAGCCGGATGACGATGAGGATGAGTCGTTTCTCAGTCTCCTCCTCATCAGCTTGCTTTCTCCTCCGCTGCCAATCGTATCACTCCTCCTCCTCCTTCTCCTCCTCCATCTTCTCGCCAAAATATAAATATGCATCTTCGCCCGCCTCTTCCTCCTCCCATGCACAGGAGCAAGGGGAGCGTGGTAGAGGATGGTAAGGAGGATAGCAGGGGAGTGGTAGAAGGAGAGCTGGGAGGAAGGTGAAGAGGAAGACGATTGATATGATCAGGCCTCCTGGTCCTCCGCTCCCTCCTCCTCCTCCTCCTCGTCCTCCTCCTTCTCCTGCTCCTCCTCTTCCTCCCTGTGGGATATGGAGGGGGAGGAGGAGGATGAGAAGTATGTTTGGGGCGATCGGATAATGGTTTGCGAGGGTTGTGATTTACAGATGAAGAGCAAGAGGGAGAGAAGGAGGAGGTTGAGGCGTCACTCCTCCTCCTCCTCCTCCTCCCCCTCCTCCTCCCCCTCCTCCTCCCCCTCCTCCTCCCTCCCCTCCTTCTCTCCTCCTTCTCCTCTTTCCTCCCTCCTCCTCCTCCTCCTCCTCCTCCTCCTCCTCCTCCTCCTCCTCCTCCTCCTCCTCCTCCTCCTCCTCCTCCTCCTCCTCCCCCCCCCAAGCCGATGGCTACGGCAACCCTTGGGGCGGCGTTGTGCAGGACGCATGGGGCGCCGGTAATGGTGTGCGATCCGCGCACACCCGACGAGCACCTGCACAACCGCCCCAAGAGTCAGTTAGCTTGGTCGACACCAGCAAAATCGATCGAGGCATTCGCCTCCAGGACACAGTCTGGAGAAAAGGCCAGCGGTCCTGAGTGCTTGTCGTCCCGTAGCGCTTGCGTCACCGTAGGACACAGTCTGGCGGCAGTGCAAGCGGTCCCGAGTGTATGTCCTTCCGCAGCGCCTCGTGTTACTTCACACGCGGGCGCAAGAGGTATATGCATCCAGGACACAGTCTGGCGGCAAGGCCAGCGGTCTTGTAATCGATTGGGGCATTCGCCTCCAGGACAGTCTGGCGGCAAAGCCAGCGGTCCTGAGAGTGTGTCGTTCCGCACCGCCTGTGTCCCCGCACGCCTGCAAAAGAGGCAGGCGCCTCCAGGACGCAGTCGGGCGG